TGCATAATGTGATATCTAAGGGCTTGATATGTATAGTGACATACAGCTACATTTAAGGGTAACTTAGGCCACATTTTATATTGGCAATAGAAACACAAACCACTATATATAGAATACATACAACATACAACACGTAAATAAACTAAATAATCTGCATTAAAATGAATGGAAACAACAGATGGCTGTATTATACTATAATAAAAGAAAACAAAAAACAGATTAACTACACCTGTAAGACATTGATGTTGCGCCGGCCCGGATGTCATAGAACAGAACACACGCTTTCTGGATTGGCATCCAACACACTTTAGTCCATCCACTGTGTCCCTCTCGGGCTCTCATCGACAACAAATAAATACCATGTCACGAGAAACCCGTCAAAATTAATGATAGTATGAAAGACACTGCCCAACAAACATACACCCATCAGCGTTCATATGTATTTACCGACCACTCACCAGTCAGATCCCACCATCCGCACCTATACTCGCGTATCCAAGACAGGATTACTGTCAGAAAAGCCAGCAATACAGGTCCTCCTGATCAACCAATACATCTAGGATGAAAATGTCAGCATGAATGAACATAAGTAAACCTCACTTCAAGCCAGAAACAAAAGTTCCAGATTCAGACTACCCAAACCACTGCTGTTTTCTAGGACAAGTTGTGTTGTTTCAACGCAGCAGTTTTAAGCAGGCTTTCTGTAAGTTTTTGGTTTTATTTAGTTTAGTAAAGGTCCCAAAATGTCTGACAATCAGTGTCTGCCTATGCATCTGTCAATTTGTCCATTCCAGGTCCTGCAGGCACATTAACAATCAGTTTCCCTTTTACAATGTTGGCCCTTGCTCTGTCATTAGTTTCGAAGCCAGTGGCGCCTGTATGTTACACTAAGGCACAAAACACTTATTGTGGTGAACCGAATCAAACACACCTCTTGCACATGCCTGTGTCCAAGGTGTACTGGATGGAAGGCATCATTATATACCACAATATCATTTTTATGCATTAATTACTCTTTTTACTTTCAACACAATATTTACTGCATGCTCCAAACCTTCCTTCCATCAGATCTCCTACTGTGTGGCAACACTACAACGTTAAGCGTTACAAACAAAAGTCCACAAACGTCTACCAAATACGAACCAACCACAGAGTCCAACACAACGTCCAAAGTATAGCTAACATTACTGCAAAAGGTATTTGTGCAACTCATATTGGTGATACCTCGTGTTTAACTGCTAAGTTAGCTGCTTGTAAAGCACCGACAAATCTGTATCTAACAACTGCCTACTGGTGACGATTGACTGCGCTCTGCCATCTGCAGGTTAACTCCGACTATATATGCAGTTGTGGCGGTTTGCAGATTGCGCTAAACTTCAGTTGTTTTTTCACTCAACACACAAACACTTATCCTAAATATCATGACATGGATGTTATTTGGTTAATTGAAAAATTATTTTTTCACACCGTCAATGTCGCATTTTTGGGGTAATTATAATACAACACTCATGTCTTCATGGAATCATTTTTTAATTTTATACTGTTTTATTCGACGATACCGCGTCATGCGCACAGTTAAACACAAAATCTTATCATAATATATCTGTACTGTCAGCGAGTTATATCAGCTCTCTTTATTCACTGCAATACCTGATGACATGTGGGTGGAGCAGTGTGCCTCAGTACATAAAATATGACCTCAGCAACTATCCAAAGCCCACATGTTGCGGCTGAAGCTCCTGCTTATACTGGAACTCCTGCAAAGAGAACACACGAGAGGAAAGCATCGCTGGGTTTATTCACCATGGACAATATCTATATCTACTATATTTCCAAACTTATATGAAACAAATCTTGAAGCCAATCTTCAAGGTCTTCAACAAAGACAGTATCAGTGCAGCGCTGGGTGAGTGTGACACACCCTGTAACCACCTCCAGACAACGAGACTCACTGCACAGTTTTGGAGGCACATCCTGGCGTTGTCCGGGCGTCTCATCAGTGATGTTCCACAGAGCGCCATCCAGGGAACAACTCCATCCACCTGGTCACACTGAGGGGAACACACAACCTTCTTCACCAAAAAAGAATCCCCAAACTTTGATTGGAACAGTTCAGACAAACATATGTGAATGGTTATTGGACTTTTTGTTGCAAGTTTTGGCCTTTGTATGACAGCGTACGAGAGCCAGGAAACACAGGGGGAGGGAGGAGAGGTATAACACTTGTAGCAAGGTTTCCAGGCTGGGAGTCAACAGTGGACATATTTGCAATGTGCCCGTTATCCCATGGTTAGGCATTTTACAAGAAAAAAACTTCATAACAGGATCCGTCTGTTCAGATGTGAAATACATATTAAGTATTGTTACCCCCAATACCACGTGCCCCCCCAGTTTACAACTAGTCCAGGTTTTTATTTCTATGAACGCAATACAATTTCATGCTCAAAAGATCAAGGTGGGTAAAACCAAAGACTCACACATTCCTGTCCCCTGTAGCGTCTTCTGAATTAAATTCCAACCATCGTTAAATGTCAAAGGGAACCGACATGAGATACTTAAACAAAAACTTTAAAATACAGTGTATATTATCATCATACTATGTATACTATATATAATGAATACCCTAGCTATATTTTATATATACTATACTACTATACTACCATATATATCATACCCCCCTCATCAACTGCCCAACTCTAATCATCATCCATTCCTTCAAAATCACGAGAACTACAGCAAAACAACACAAAGTGTTGCAATACCCAACACACACAACGCACTGTGAATGGCATGAAAAGCTTAGACTCACTGGTTCCGCCAACTTTTCTTACTCGGGATCATTTTCATATTATACTTCCAGCAAATTTATTTCCTGGTGAGCTATTGTATCAGAGATTAGTTTCACTTATACTATTTTACGGCCGGCCCAGTTAGAAGTCTCATTCATATAAGACCTCTGCACATCTATTGAACCGAGGTTGTTACCACTCCCCTCTGGAAAGTTACCACAGTAGTATTAAAGGTCTTCTCCATCCTACTGCTCATATGACCACAGATCTTCTGCACATGCGGCCCATAGAACATGCACACCAGAGACTTCTGGTTTAGAAAAATGTTTTATAGCCGCTTCTTTCACAGTGTAACCTATGGTCTTTTTTCTGTCATTACACACTATGGTCACTATGTCAAACTGGCTTCAAAGTCCGGCACTCTTCCTGGCGGTTTGGTCACAGTCCACCAACTTTTCATTCCAGCATACAGCAAGTGGCTGATGGTCCTGAATCAAGCCCGGTAAGGTCAGTAATGGGTTGCCGTCAAGGTCTATCCCTGCTCCATTACTACTTACATTAATAAAAACAATAAATTATTTATCTTAATCAGTACTTTAACGTCTATTTTATGCAGATGATATCATTTTATATGCTCCCAGTTCTACTCCAACCCAGGCTCTGACTCACATTCAGTCTGCCTTTGATGCTGGCCTGATATCACTTCATCATAGACGTTTGAAATGCAGATAAGATCAAGCACATGGTATTCTCTCTTCTGTCTCCGACTATCCTGTCAAACTTTAACCTTTAAATCACTTTCACTGAGTCATAGGAATTTGTCTCGATAGTAGACTGTCACTCAGAATTCCTATTAATAATATTACCTGAAAACCAAAAAAGCACTTACTTTCTGTGTAAAACTAAAGGCTTTTTAGGAGCAACTTAAGATGTGACACTATATATGTTGTATATGTATAATAATATAATAATATAATATATATATATGTTGTCTTTTCAAAGTAGGTGAGGCCAGCACACAGCATATCCAAGTAGAGGAAAGGAGGAAGTTAACCGAGGCTTGCTCAACTGTTATTGGCAAAAAGGGGCGGGACTTAGGAAGGGTCAACTGAGTAGCCATAGCGTTTACATGAAACTAGGGAGTGGGGGGGCAGCCACTGTGGTGTAGCCTCAGCAGATACAATGTAAACATGAGCTCAGGTCAAGTCGCCGGGTATCTGCTCTTAATGGAGAGTGGGAGTTAAAGGCAGCTTTAAGGTTAGGTCAAGGCTAGAGAATGGTGTCACCTGTCAGAGGGCTCAGTAGATATATGACAGCAGAGTCTGACCCACTGCAGGGCCTATTCACAGGCAGGACAAATAATTTAACATTACCCTAATTTTTGCTTTTCTGAACAATATTTGTTGCTCAATGTGTTCTTGCATGCTGGTTGACTATGTTTCCCCACTCTTTCTTGAAAAAGAGACCTTGATATCAATGAGACTACCTGATTAAATTAAATTCATTCAGTATACTGCTCCTCTCCTCCCCTCTCTGGTAGGTATTTTATTCCTATAAATGTGGTGGGATAGTTATCAAAAATCTAGAATATACATATATATACAGAACTACAATTAATTTTCCCAACACAGAGACACAACTACAATACTGTCTACACACTGTGGAGCATGTTCACTCCGTGTTCATGTGGATTTCCTCTGGGTGCTCTGGTTTCCTGCCATCCCAAAAATAAGCTTGTTAGATATTAGGAATACTCCTGCCGTTGGCCTTGACCAAGTAACTGGCCTGAGAACTGGAGTGGATCCATGGGCTCTGCACTGTGGCAGCTCTTCCTTACAAGAGCGATGTTCTTTCAAAAGTAATGGTCAAATCTAACAACACAAATGACATCTGATCTCTTTAACCCCGAAAATCTAATTTCACAACAACAGAGGAAACAAGCTCATATAAATGTTACCTTGACAAAGCCCATCTTCCCCACAGCTTCCTTGTGATGGTTGTCCACCTGACAGACCAGAGCGTTGCAGAGGTGCACAGCAATTCTCTGGATGGACTCATCCTGCCTGGCCGGCTCAAGGATTTTCAGCAGCAGCTGGTTGACCCGACTGTACTGGAACTCCAGCTCCTCTGGAATACTGAAGTTGCACAGAGTCAAGCAGCAGTTCCTCTGGACCTGGTGAGAGGCAGAGAGGGGGATACAGGAAGGATTACGAGTCTGAAAACTTTACTAAAGTCTGAAGAGCAACATAATGTAGATCTAATAGACCATTTTCTCATTGAATCAATCAATTAATAGACTTACAGTGACCTCCTGGTACTGCTCCATTCCATTTAGCACCACCTGAATGACCTCTCTGCGCAACCGCACGCTCTGGTCACTGCGGTACTCTGTGTTGGTCAGGTAGAAGAGAGCAGCGCTGCCCGTCACCTGGACGCTCTTATCATATTTATGGCACTTCAATGCTGCTATGACAAGCTGAAAGGACAGTTTATAGCAGAGGTGTGAGAGAGAAAACAACATGCTGAATCACTGCACACGTTAGAAGTCACTGGTATCACCTCCTTTAACTTAAAGTCATCATACTTGCAAAGCTCGGAGCAGTTGGCTGCAGTGCTGTATCCTGGCGATGTCAAACAGCTGATTGATGGCTCTGTGGGCCAGCTCAGGGCGAAACTCTGTGTAAGCCTCAATGGCATTCAGGACCTGGTCTTCATTCTTGGATCCAGTCACCTGAAAAAGCCAGAAAGACAGATTTAACCAGTTTACAATGTACCTGGTAAGGAGAAACTGGTAACAACGGGTCCTTTCCCGCATCACATAAAGGGTGAATTGACCAATTTACTGAAAGGTGAAGGTATAAAGGCCCTTTTCTAGAATACTTAAAGCACCAGTGGTAAAGATTTAGTTGCATCTAGAGGTGTAGTTGCAGATTGCAACACCCTCGCAAATACAGTGGCCATGAAACAGTGGCTGGTTTGTCCATTGTGGGCTACTGTAGAAACATGGTAGGTCAACATGGGGGACTCCGTAAAAAAGGCGATGCTTGGCATTTGTGGATAAAAACAGCTCATTCTAAGGTAACGCAACAGTTCCTACATTCAGGTGATTATACACTAATGAAACCATACCTATAAATATTATAATTCATTCCTGACAGTAGATCCTCCTCAATGTTACACACTGGACCTTTAAATGTTTTCCAAACTTTAGAGACTTTGTACGAACCCTGTAATAAAATATTATCTAAATATTGGTATAATCGATTCCCTTTTTTCCCCATTTTCAACTAGTTTCATTTTCATTTCTCCAACTTACACCTGTGACAAGGTCATGTTCTAAATGAAGATAGAACCATGTCAATGAAAACAATGTCAATGCTGACTGGCAATCCATCTCATGGAGGAAGTAAACTGATAAGAATACTGAACATGACCACCGTAATCATTTTATCTTCTGACTGTCAGCAGCAACTCGCCAGACAATGAAAGGACTCTGTTGGCTTAGTTATAAAAATAACTATTATGATCCAGGCCAAAAACTGTATTGTGTGTCTAGCCTTTGGATAACGCAGTACCTTGTAAGCGGGGAATGTGCGTGCACATTGCAGAGGTGTGTCATATAACCCTAGAAACTGCAGGGGCCTCCTTCAGCTCCTGAAAGGATAGATCTGCTCCTTCATGGCTCCCGATGCTAAGAAGAGAAAAGAAAGAAAGAGAAGAAAGAAGAAAGAAGAAAGAAAGAAAGAAAGAAAGAAGGAAAGAAAAGAAAGCAAAGGGCCTTGTTCAGAAGGTTTCAGCTCAGAGTAAATATGAAAGTGCAAAAGCAATTTCAAAAACTCTGCAATTAGGCCTTTTTTTTAATATATCCAGTGTACACTCTGAGTTGCAAATGGTAATGGTATGGACTGTACTACAATGCAGCTGTACACTACATGCCACACTCCCACCCCATTCACGACACCAGTGGCCTGCATAACCACCTGCTCACCAGAACGGAAACTGATCATTCATACATACTCATATACCAATGCACAGCATTGGGAGCAATTTGGGGTTCAGCGTCTTGCTCAAGGACACTTCGGCATGCAGTGAGAGGAGCCGAGGATTGAACCAATAACCTTCCGATTAGTGGACGACCCAGTCTACCTCTGAGCCACAGCCACCCACCTTGGCCGACCCATAGCTTCTTCAAAGTGTGGAACCGTGCAGTTGTCCAGCATAACGTGACCCGAGATGTCCAGTGACACCAGGTTGACCAGACGCTGCACGATGGCCGTCAGGATCTTCCTGGTCATCTTAATCTTAGAGGTTCGCCTGCTCTCCCGTGAGATGTCAAGATGTCTGAAGAGTTTTATTGATGACAGTGACACATTTTTGATGATTAGTGGGCATATAAAGGGAACAACATACAGTAGGCATTGGGACATCAAAATGAATGGGAATTTACAAATGTTAGCAATACTGAAGGAAGGAAATATAATATTAGGGCAGACTTGAAGAATTCAAACCTACCTTTTAATCCACTATGATTCAGCTGATAATTCTCTGTAGGTTCATCACTACAAATGCATTGTTCACATTGTTTTCACAGTAATCTGCTACACTATTCAACAATACAACCTTTAATATTGTGATTGTTTTTATTGCAATGTGGTACAATGCTTTATTGGATGATAATGCAGTTCCTAATGTGATATTACGGTTGTTTCTGGTTAAACAAAAGGTCTATCTCTGTAGGGATCCTTTACATAATGTTGTCAGACCATAACAATCAGAGTCTGTCAGTGGCAAAAACAGCTACCGTTAGTGGACGCACTCTGACAGGTGCATTTGTTCCAAAGGATTAGCCAATGTTACATAGAAGCTACAACAATCTGTTTCTCGGCTATTGTATCATATACGTCAGGAAAAAAGGATTTTTCCAACCAACTCAGCAAAGACAGTTGAACAACTAACACTTTTGGTGAGTTTTATTTTGTTTCTCTCCAGTGTGAAGTGTGTTTTACACTTATCTGCTAGGTAAAATTACTGGTTTTGTCAATGGAGTCTGGTAGGGCATGGCATCCAATTGTTTTGGTCTGAGATCCTGGTGCTCTAGTGCGATATCTAGTGGCAAGTAAATTTCAGGTATATAACCTAACAGACGTGCTTTCTGGATTGGTCAAACATCATCTGAAACCCTCCATCCACACTTTCCACCATAGGAATTTGTAGCTATTTTTTTTTTGTTTACGTAACAGGGCATTTACTAAGACTACAGAACCTAATAAACAGATTTTTCATAAAGTGCTGTTAAGTAAGATCTGTTGTATGCATACATATTGCATGACACACAATTGTTAGTGGTGAAGCTTTTCTTCCATTTTAAAACCGCTAAATATTGGTGCTTTAGTAAATAACTCAATTTGTCCAAGCACCTGAAAAAAGGGACGCAAAATGTAAGTTAGGCCTCTTGGATTGGTCCATAAACAACTCTAAAACTTCGGTCCAGTGCATAATCTAATTTTAACTTGAATGATTTAGATGAAGCTACACAGAACTTAGGTTTGAATGCAGTTTTCCACCACTTGCAGCACATCAGTAAAATTACTATTAGCAAGTATAATGACAATTTATACATAAAAGCCTCCTCCCAACTTACCTGAGATTAACAATCTCCACCACTGTATTGACCAACTCCTCTGACAGGTCCACGTTGTAGAGAACAAGAGATGCCAGTCTATCTTTCCACTGTGTGAGAAAAGCTGTTCCCAGCAACTGTACATTAGATAGATCTAGTGAGGTGAGTGACTTCAGGGGTTTGAGCAGGCTCTCAGCATCCACCTCGTCAGGCAGGCCACCCAAGTTGAGCAACCTGAGGCGGTTGAACCCCTGGAAGTTAAAGTCAGTCTCTAGCATTTGCCTAGAAGCAGGGCTCTCCTCCTCCTCGTCCTCGGTATCCTCGTTGCATGCGAGCGGGGCGCCACCCTTCCGGTAGAAGATGTGGTTGCAGCCAAAGAGACAAAGAGACACCAGGGTCTCACGAAAGCAGGTCAGTGTTTTCAAGCTGCGGGATGACAGACTGTTGCAGTAGGTGAGGTGGAGCTCAATCAAGTCCTGGCAGAACACACAAAGAATTTATTGAAGGATCATGAATGACTGGATTTTCCTTTATAAATTCCTCCACTAAATCAACTATAAGGACAGAGGCCACAGGTTAACTTACAATACAAGACGAGTATCACATTACATTCTTCTTTAGTGAAGGATGGTGAATTAGTAGATTTATCTGTGCCATATATATGTGCCATATATATGTGCCATATATATATATATGCCATAGGCCATATACATTTTTTACAGAAACTTCCAAATGCAGCACTATTATGTAAAAGAGGTGAAGGGACAGAGTAAGGAAAAACCGTCTGATGTTACACAGATTTTTATTAAAGCATATAACTCAGAACCCACCAGACGGATTTTGAACCTGTATCTAAGTATGTTGACTACATCTACATGCACAAAATGCGGTTTTTGCCCTCCAAAAAAAAGACGATATTCATACTAAGCTGTTTACATGGAAGTTAAATGAATATTCCACTAATATTCCCGTTTACAAGCAGCTTACTCCTATTGACTGAACTGTTAATGACATACTGTACAAGGAATTTATCCCCTTTAAAAAAAAAAAAAAACATCATTAAAAGAGGATTTTTTTCAAAGTTTGCCACCGGGGGCGGACTTGTTTGACCGTGTGAACACAACCTCCCACTTTCATTTGTTTAACCTCCTTCTTAAAAAAAGGTCGGTGTTGCGATATTTGCACATATCCAAAAACCTGTAGATATCCAAGTCTTTCATGATGTTTAACAATTTCTTCTTTCCGACCAGAAATGTGGGCTTTTTTTCCCCCACAGAGCTGGTTGTAACAGGCAAAGACACATATTCCAAATGTGCTGTATACATGTCCAAAGAATGCCTCTAAAACCTGAATAATATTGGTGTATCCCACGTCTTGATCTGAAAATGCTCCATTCTGAACACTTCCAGAACACCCCTTAAAATATGGAATAGTGTCCTATTTGGAATAGTAGTGGAAAGTTACCCCCAAATTCCACCGGGCACAGCCATGCTGTGTTCCGCCTTTGCCGCTGATTTCGTCAATGAAAACATAACCTTCTTGGGAGGAAATAAGACGGTATGGGTCACAAACTGCATACATGATCCATCATCCCAGTGTTGAACAGTGCCAACCTAGCAAACTGGCAGAAAGCAGCACAATTCCAGATTTGCGATGTTTGGAGTTGAAGGACATTTGACTGGACCAACATCACACAGTGCAGTCTCTTGTGATATAAGAGACTGTACTGCAATGTAATACTATATGAATTATTTGTTCCATCCCCACACTTACAGGATAAGTAGCCTGCATAGTACATCAGTGGTCTCTTTCTTACAAGACCTACCATTATTCATCAAAAGTATAACCACATACCTAAAGTAACCAACACATACTTGAGAACAAAAAATACTCTATGTGTACTACCTATTTACATCTTCTTTTGTATTTTTGCCTTTTTTTAACCAATCTGGGTTCACTGGTCATTACAGCTGCCAACTCCGTCTGCTCTTTTTGTCTGGTGATGGTTTGGAAAAGAGGAGAAAGTGTAAAAAGCCCACCAAAGAAATCACAAGTGCTGCAACAAGGACATGATCCCTAACTGGCTTCCCACCCACCAACACTGCTAACTGCTTTTTTTCCTTGCGTCCCAATCAACTTTAGTAAGTGTTTTAGTCTGCCTGCCTCCAGTATCTTACTGGATGTTTTTTTTTGAAGAATCAGAATCAGGTTTATTGCCATGTAGGAAGGAATTTGCTTTGACACATTGGTGGATGAGGAACACAATCAAGTGTAGGAAAATATAAATAAAGATTGTAGACATATTTCTTTGTATGTCACATATTATGTCTGTCTACCATTAGATGTTCCATGATTCTGAGAACTAAATATTCATACTGTACTTTAAAACAAAACTGCCACATTACATAGTAAAATAATTTATTTTAGAAAACTGAAAACAAGGAATATGTGACACATTATAAACATTCTTCAGTTACCAAACATTGGTATGTTCCACCTAAAACAAGGTCATATAATGAGAGTACTATATCAAGATATCACTGCATTTATTTGCATTTAATCTTTCAGTGGTTTTCAGTGGGACAGTGAGGATTGAAGTGCAATACCATTAACTACAGTTTCTTGATTGTCACTTGACACAATTTCTTTGAGTGGTAATTACTGGTAACAGAAAACCAAACAGCCACTCCCCCCAGTTCTAACGTCCTGACAGTACTGGTGCAAGAAGAACCCTACATTACTATGAGGGGAGGTGTCAGGTATCCAGCTAATACTTCACAAGTGTTTGTCCAAACAGTACTAACTGCTAAATAAAGGTTAGCAACTCAGGAAGGAACTCAAAGGTCTGTTTTGTGGACATGGAGCTTAAAATGATATTTGGTAGAACATTTGAGCACTTGCAACAAGAACATCCAGAAGATCTTCTTTGAAGAGCCTCCTTTCTGAGGTTTGGATATTAAAAACTGTAAATAAAGTAAATAACTGTAAAATTACTAATTTAAAGGTATAATCTGAAATTGCCACACTGTTACACTTTTCTTTTCAGATGCATGTTTAAGTAACAGAACGCAAAACTGATCTGATCTGATGTATGTTTCAAATATGGTTGCAACTACCTAAAAAAGTAAACTAGTAGATTAATATTCACATTTTGGAAAATACATGTATTTGCTAACCAGGAGTTTGATTAGTTGTATCAATAATAATTCAGGAGAGAAAGTGATCACAGATAAGGATGGGACGATATGCAATATTATCGCATATTGTGATAAAAAACCCTATAAATATATCGTGGTCAATTTCCATTATCATGATAGTCTCACATGGCTTGACCTGAAACAGCTGTCTACCTCTCCAGCATACACTAAATCCCATTGTATCCCCAACCAAAAAGAGTTAAACTGGATGTGTGGAAATAGTAAAGATTCCAAAGTGAAGATACAGGGAGATGAGGTTCATATGCTGGTGATGCAATAAATATTTCTTTCTTAACAAAATGTAGTGATTTTTAAAGTATGAACTTTATTTTCATGATTATCATGATTATATCGTGTATTGCAATTATTTTGGCCAAGATTATCATGACATGAACTTTTTATATTGTCCCATGCCTATCCAAGCCCTGTTTAGCCTAGCAAAACAACCATAACAGGTTAGTAAATCCCATGAATCAGGATGTGAACTACAGGGGAGCCTGACTGAATTGTCTATTGACTTGAACTTCCCTCGGGATAAATAAAGTATCTATCTATCTATCGATCTATCTATCTATCTATGCAGTTTCTGTGGCTGACTTCCTGCCAGTGCGATCTGCTGCTCTGTGCTGCTTGACGTAATGGGTCGCAGCTTCCGTCAAAAATAAAAGAGCCACGTACTCTACAGGGAGCAGAGCGAAGGGGCACTTCTGGGACATGCCGCAGCGCTTCAGGTGGAATTTAGAGCGTAGGCAACGGCGGTGGAGCCGGAACTAGTCGCAGCTGTGTCTGGTGGAATTTGGGGGTAAGGTTATTGTACCAACGGTTGGGTTTCAAACAATGTGTAGGCGATCTGAAGTATAGATATGAATGAAGGACTAAAACACAGTTAAAATGTTCCCGATTATTTTTAAGATATTTGGTCATTTTAATCAATTTACACGTGTTTCCATGACTGGAAAACTAGTTTCAAAATTTCTGTTTTTTTAGGACGCATGCAGTTTCACGAAACTGTACAAGAACAAACTGGAGACTGAGGGCTTTCGGATGATGTATGGCTTTCCTAGATATATCAACAATAAGGGGGTTTTGGGCAATTTCCAGAACAGAAGTGTTGCCATCCAATCGGTGAAAAATTCAATTCTTACAGAAATCTCTAAATGTCAAAGATGTTTGATACCAAAACACAGCCTATTTTTTCTATGGTGTTCCTCAAGTCTTTGGCACCTTAATGTGCCTTAAAATTTGGGAAGGATTTTTCACCATTTTGATACATTTTTCAAGAGCCCAAAAATGGGTGCAACAACTTGGAAACTGCCAGCAAACACCTTAACCATAATGCTCTAAGCCCTTTTACATATTATATATTATATATTTTATTTTAACATGTGCCCCAACAAAATGTGTTTATACAATTCATTATGAACAAATTGACACACAGGCAATCTGAACTCAAATTAATCTTCAGGTTCACTGCTTTAAGACAGACAGACATATGGAACTGCTATCTCCTACTAAAGATCCCTGTCCCCCCCTAAAAGAGACAAAAATGGGTCTATAGTAGGGACCACTGCGAAACCTGTAAGGAGGATACAGCAAAACTGAAGCAGGGAGTTTGGAAAGTAGTTTTCCCAAAACTAAAAAAATAAGAGTGTAATGAGGGTGTAAAAAGCAGTAAAAGTAAAAGTTTAATTTTGCTTTAAAAAAGTGCTTTTAACATTTAGGTTTTCAAGTGGAGATGTTCCACAGGGATTGTTATCTTAAGACAACATCAGCTTATTTTGAAAAACTAGTCTTTGACTAAGATGCAGCATCCCACCTGTTTTCTAATGGCCTCCAGATCTCTGTCACGCACAAAGTCTTCTCTCAGCTGTACCCTGGTCAGTCTGGTGCTTCGAGGGTCTGAGAACAGTTGGAAGAAGCTCTCCTCCGGTTCAAAGTTACTGTCTGTGTGGACCAACTCCATATATCTGTTAAAACAAAAAAAAAGGAATCAAAAGCCCTTTTGCAAACACAGAATCTGTAATATTGCATCAAACATGGCACATTTCGACAGACTGATAATTCAGAAATCAGTGTATCCTGTTACGTACGTGTTGACCAGCTTGTCGCAGATTTCGCTTGGAAGGAAGATGTCTGAACGCAGGCAGAGCTTGTTCCTGAACCCCTGGTAGCACATGGTCTTCCTGAGGTTCCTCAGGCAGAAGACGGTTGCCAGAGTCATGAGGCTGTCGGGGTTGTCTCCTGCTTTGGCTGCCATGTTAGCCTCTTCTTCTCCGGGCTCAGATCAAAGACAGCGAGGTGCAGGGGACCTTGGAGGAGTGTGTGGAACAAAGTAAAGGGTTAGGAACCATTACTCAACACAGGGGGCTGCTTCTGGTGGGAAACGGCAAACTAGGTAATACTGACTCTTTCAATGTGAAGATTAAAAAATAAATGTGTATACAAATACAGCACATGTAGGGTCACTATAGTTATACCAATAAGCAAATATCTGCCTCATTTATCCACTATCGTTCTACTACCATTAATGTTTTAGATAAGATGAGATAAGATAAGATGCATAGACTTTATTGGTCCCACACTGGGGAAATTTACGTTACAGCAGCTCCAGATACAACACACTAGAGAAGAAAATACACTTTAAATAAAAAACAGAATCGAAAAATACAAGAAATAATGACAATAGAAAAAATAGAGTTACATGTATACTATATACAACTTTTTATATACAGATGTGATTGATATGGAACATTGTAAAGGTCACAGCAGGAGGTTGTGCCATGGTGTAAACAAATATCTGTTTCTAATGTAAAATGTTGTGTGTGGTGCCCTTAAATATATTAACAGAGATAACAATTAAAGTAATGACATTCAATCCAAAATAACATCAGACTTATCTCCTGCAAGCTCTCACTGTATTACTAAATCAACAGGCACATTACTGTCAAAGCGCCTTGCTACCATAATAAACTGAGACCTTTGCCTAGGGCTGGCTACTGTTAGCAACTAATGTTGCCTACTTTGTTACAACTTGTTTCAACATTAATAACAAACTGATCTTATTTATATTAATATGAAAGGCCCATGTTAATAAGCTGAAGCTAGTAGGCTAGCTTGCCGTGTCTTTTTGGCTGGTATTACTAGTTTGTTAGTTAACCACACAGAGCAATGACTCCTGAGGGAGTAGCAGCACACTGTTACTAAGATGGCTAGCTAGCTGCTGAGCTGCACTGAATAATAGTATACTTTACCAACACTGACGCTAGATAGCTACGGACAAACAGAAAACAACTGTTAGCTAACTCACTCGCAAAAAACAAAAATACCAAAGAGCAACACCTGTTATTCTGAGTAAAGCCTTAACTTGCCGATACGGTGTCATTCCAGCGTCTAAATTAGCTTGTGGCTAACGATGGCTTTCCCAGCTATGGTGTTAGGTAAGTTAGCCAGTGGGGCTAGCGCTAGCTAACAGCTGTGTGTGGAGATGCGGGCTACGAGCAGCGGTCAGCGGTGTGTGAGTGACCGGCTCAGCGGACAGGGCTCTACCTTAGCTCTCGCCAAGGCTGTGTGTCTCGATGAGGGCGAGAAATGGAGTTATTATCACCAGTCTTCACTCATCTGCCTTTCGTTGTTGTCGGATGTCAACAAACAGGCTCCACCTCATGCTCCACCTCCCAGTACTTCTATTACACCTCCTCCTTTTCCCATCTCTTCATCTCTTCATCTCTTCCTCCTGTTCTTCCTCTTCCTCCACTACTTATGGAAGCCCATTTCCGCCAATGTGACAAAAAAGATTAAGTCAATATAACAAGAAGCTTTCTCAAAATATTGATTTTGAGATTCTACGTCAATATTCTGAGATAGTTACACAACTGTCCACTCACTTTTGTAAATAGTTTTGCTACAATAATGGCTCCATAAATAAGGCAATAGCTTGGTCTCAGCAACTATTAACAATGGCCGTTTCTTAATAATGTTAGACTGAAATGTATGTAACAGGGTAACAAAGTTAATTCTTTTTAGTTTGTTTCAAGGTAATACTGTACAAATTGTTTGATGCTGCAACACTTAGTAGTTACTGTGTAATACCCATGAGTCAACGCTTTCTATGTATTGTAACATAAGATGCAACTTACACTTCCTATTTAATAGTTGTTTTATTTTGCATTAATTCACAATAAATTAAACTGATGCAAACTGCAATGTAACAGTGAATTTATTATTTAGAATTGTAACATGAAAATAATGAAACAAAAAAATGAAAAGTGAACTAAGGAACAACTGAGCTGAGAAATAGTCTTTACACAGGAAACAGCAGCAGAGTGTGTTTTTGAACCAATCAAAGAAGCCCTGGAGTCCACCCTCGGTCTTCATTTTGGCCTCATCCTGGCTGATGGTCAGCTCATCCCGCTCTGCACTGATGACAGGAGCTTCATTAGGTGCAGAGAGACGAGCTGTTGGAGATGAAACCACAGCAGAGTCTGGTCCTCTGGTAGGCTCTTTACAATTATCCTCACTGTCCAAGACTGAAGCAGGAGGGCCCAGGGGAGGTGGAGGACATAGCACCACAGCACAGTCTGGTCCTGGGCTGCATGCTGGCTGCTGCACTGTTTTAACCTGGCTGATTGCTGAACCCTCCTGGACAGCAGTGATGGCAGGAGGTTCAGCACTGGTGGTCAGAGACTCTTTCTCTGATTGCTTCAGTGTCTTCCTCTAGACCAGGCTCCTCTGCACCATCAGCAACCCCAGGAGAGATTGGTTCTGGACTGTGTTCTGGCTGTTCCTCTGTTTTCTCCAGGCGGTTGTTTGCAGGAGGTCCAGCAATGTTGTTCAGAGGAGCTGGTGGAGGAGAAAAGACAGCAGAGACTTTTTTGAAACTTGAGGAGGGACTGAGTAGAGAGCTGAGAGCTGAGCAGCCTTCTGGCTTCAAATGTCCCTCATCTTCATGCTGTTGTTCACTTCCCACACCTGCAACAAGGAGTGAGATCTGAAGAGTAGACCTGACATATTTACAGAATAAATCAACAGCTGACTCCGAACTACCGTCAAGACTTTTCCGGATTGTGGTCTTACCAGCTTGAGAAGAAGCCTGGCCTCAGGATCCTCAAGTCGTCCAGTTCAAAGCCCCAGAGCCTTCAAACTGAAAGAAAACACAAGTTTTATTTTCACTGTTCCTCTTTTCCTCATTACAGACATGGTGTGGCATGTGTGTGTCGGTAACTCACTGCACTCTCCTCCACCAGCAGATCACTCATATCTTCACCTCAGATGGGAGCTGGTTCGGTTCTTCTACTGAAGACTTAAAAGTTCAGACTCCAGTGCAATTTAAACAACATACAAGGGATCACATGTATTTATCAGTCCCTCCATGAAGTTGCACTGTTGTAATTGCAACAATTAACGCAAATGCAACCAATCCCCCATGAATTCTTCAGACCTTGCAACATTTCCAAAATGTTCACCAATCATAGAAGTCCCACCAACAAAACACCCAGCCATATATCACCCAACTACTAGCAATTTATTCTCACAGCAATATTCTGCCTTCAGTTCTAAATGAAATATACCAAAGAAAAAGCAAACAAAACACCTTCTCGCTTTCTAACACAATTTTATAGCAAAAAAGCCTTGAATAGAAAAAGCTGTCATGAAATCAGACATTTCAGGCCACATCAATCCAAAAAAAGCTCATGAAATCCTGGTGGAGCTGCTTTATGTTCAAGTACAAGACACAATTCATAAGACTTGACCTGCTATTTTACTTAGACATGAAAGCTATAGTAGGTCTTACCTGAGACCTATAGGAGCCCATGTGCCAGCAGATCTGCAGAGATGGGCGTGTCAAACAACACCTGTAAAGGCAGTAAGACAATATTCTTCATTAGTTTGTTATTCAGAGGTTTAACTCCATCTGAAAATGTTTACAGTCTAACTCCAGTAATAAAATACCTCTCACGTACCCTGATGGATCTGTAGATGCCTCTACTTCCTTCTATGAACTCATTAAAACCCAGGATTCCTGTACCATAACCTTAAAATTGTGGTCAATTTACATGTGCTGTATTTGTGACCTGTGTGTGTATATGATGATTAGCGTTCTCTCTGTTCAGGGGCTGAGCCAGAGGGGTAATTGAGACAAAAAGGTAGTTGATTGTTGAGTCTCATTCCCATGTCACCAAATATATCCAGCTGGGAATGAGACTCAACAATCAGCTATTTTCAAGCCACCAGCACAAAGCATCTTTCCATATTTCTCGGCTCTGATTGGTTGTTTTTGTTCAGGCCCGGTGGATTCTTGAAAATACCATTAGGAGCACTAGAGCCACCAGAGGAACCTGATGTTTTCACAGATTATCTGTCTCGTGTACTATTGTCAGGATATGGTGAAAGTTTCAGACGATATGGCAAAAAGTTAAAATTACCTACTGCAGCTTTAATCACCTAATTGTTTCTAATGTCATTATGTGTACAGTGCAAAAAGTAGAGTTGCGGCAGAATCAGAAATTTGCTAAATATGCACAACCTCAGATGCAAAGCAGAGCACACATGCACAGTAACTCACTCATATATTCCTTTATCTAATCTTTTTTCCATATAATTAGTAATACACAGTGTACAAACTACACAATGGCTTTTGGGGGAGCTCACTTTTTCTTACAGGGTGGATGCTTGACTCACCAGATGATGACTACAAAACAGAAATTGATAATGACGATTCATTGTGCTATTGAGTGGGACTAAGAGAGTTTTTTTCTGATCTTTGAGTTACAATGAGTTAAATTTATTTTATTATATTTTAAATTTAAATTTTGTTTAATTATGTTTATGTAAATTATGTT